AGACTCAATACCAATAAATGCTAATATTTAACCAACAATATTTAAAATAAATTGCCTAAATTTCAGAAAAATCACATTTATAAGTTAAATTTAGCAATATTTTGGTCAGACTTCAAAGCAATTGGAGAAAAAAGTTATAAACTTATATTAGTAAAAGTATTACCAAAATAATTTAGATGCATGTATCTAGCAAATATACTAAAATTTTAATATTTTATTAAAATTTTCAAAATTTTAGAGCTGATTCAGTAAACATAAGAAAAATCACATTCTTTATGAGACCAAAATTTAAGTAACAAGCCCTAACTCAGAAAATATTCATACAATAAGAAATACTTTAGTGCACATTCTTTAGAAAATAGCATCAATATCAGGTCCAAAAAGTTTTATGGAAATACATTTATAATATATTTTGAGTAATCAGACTTGCCGTGATAGATTTTGAACAATTTAAATGCCCACTTCTGGTAGATCAAAGGCCCACTTCCGGATTTTCTCACTTAATAAAATTGATCGTAGCTTGACCTCTAGGTTACGTAGAAGTAAAAATTATGTTTTTTAAGCCAAAACATAGCTCTATTCAATACAATAGAAAACAAAAATATCTATCTTGACCGAATTTGGTCATTTTCAGTATGTTCGGATACCTTCATGCTACTTTTTGGTGCTAGGGGACTGATATTTGGGAGATTGTAATAACTATTGTTATAAACCATATCTGTTGGGACGCATTCCCCCTTCTACAGCTTTTTGGCCAATATCTCGGCACCCGAGCCTCACAGTCCATTTGGACCTGGCTCATTCGATCCCTCTCTATCAGTTCTTCCAGTTATTATAATTTCCTGCTCATGGGTCTATTTCTTCCATAGTTTTTAATTGTGTTTTAAACTTTTTAAATTTGTTTAAATTCACAATATCCTGGTTCCTGTTTGAGTCTTGGACTTGAGATTTGAACCAATTGTTCCACTCGTCGAGACCCATCCAGTCATCTACTTCATTCCCATTGTGTAGGCATGGGGAGGGTTTAAGCACTAAAATATCATACTCCCATGTTAACCCTATGGGGACTGGAAAAAATCCTCCCCCCCCAAGGAGTGAGCTTGGGAAATGATTTTTCGAGGTCCGCCATATTTTCGTATTAGCGCGAGCTTTACGGGAAATTGGTTCCCTCCGGTGCTCCCCACCCTTTACAGCGCTTCTCCAGTAATAACTCGAATCCTATGCCTCCTTAGTCGACCGCACCGGCTAGATTCGATTGTTCTCCCTATGCGCATCCTAGATATATTTTTTCAGGAACATAGCCCCATTTCTTAACCTATATTTAACATTTTTAAATTACTTTAAAGTTTTAGGTTTTTTTACACCCCGCGTAGCACCGAGGATTTTTGAGCTTCGTTAATGAAACTCGAACCATAGGTTCTCCTCGTTGAGCTATTTCATTTGTTATAATTCGTGTGTAGAAGTGGGCCTAGGGGGGCATTATTACTAAAATTAGAATCCCCATGTTATTCCTATGGGGTTCGATCTTTTGATGACGTCACGATATTACAGAGATAGAAGGATGAAACTTTGGGATCACCTACTACTATGTGTATCGTTGGGATGTACGTGACCATTTACGTCACAGTTGTTCTCCCCCGGGGGAGTTAGTTTCATTTTCCTTTCCCGAGCTAGAGCAGCACCTCCTAGGAAGTGTTGGCTAGAGCGGCCCCATTTGCAACTACAGACTCCGGACCGGTTCGAATGGATTCCTCTTGTTTCCTCACAACCAGGCCGAGTTTCGAGTTGCTGGGTGCCCTGCTTCTACTTTATTTAATTGTTTTAAATGTTTTAGTTATTTTAAAATGACCATAACTCGGGAACTCTTCGGGCGGATGTCTTAATTTTCTCTGGAACGATTCTTCCCGCTGAGAGATTCAATATGAGGTCTCAGGTGTTACATTCGGTTCACCTCATCTCCAGATACAGTCTGTCGAAAACCCCCATGTTATTGGTCCTATTATCCCTATGCGGGGGTGTTTAAATTTATTTAAATCGTGATTATCTCGGTTTTGGCTGGTCCGATTGAATGAATGAATGAATGGATGTGAGATTTTATGGCGCAAGAGCCAAATCTGGCTATACTGCGCCAAATATTTGTGAAAATCTGTGATCTAGACGGGAAAAGAAAGAAAGGATAAATTGAATGACAAGAAGGAGGGTCGAAAATAGAGAAGGATCACTAGGGTACCCCCGGTTCAGCCGGTCCGATTGACTTAAGGTTAGTATCGTTCAACTCTGCTTGTGACCACCTTTCGTCCTTGGCCCATTTTGCCATGCCCAAGATTTTTAGAAATATTTTAATCTTGTTACGCCAAAGAAGTATAACTTCTTACGTGCGTACATAAGTACACACACACACTTTTAATTATTCAAATATTAATGAATTAATATTTGAGAAAATAATGTATTAACATCAAGTATCATCCACTGCAAGTTTTGAAGAATGAGTTTGAACTTGAATGGATGAATAGAAAGCATTTTAAAAACGATTGAAAATTTGAACAAGATATATATATGTATAAATATATATAATGAGAGAGTGAACTAATAGTAGGAATTGAAAAATCAATAAATGTTAGTTAAATAAAATAGTGGTAGTTTTATTCAATTTATTTAATGTGCTAATTTTATATCTTTGGTTATAGCAAGCACATTTAATTTTGGAATAGTTTAATGTAACAAATGTACCTTATCACACTTTTCTACATCACAATCTACAAATTAATGTTCAGCCAAATTGCATCTGTATTAATATTTGTTGATCATCATGAAAGAAAAACTTCGTTCACAAATATATGTCGATTCAAATACAGAAAACATTTTCTGTCTATTCAGTTTTTTAACTGTCTTGATGGGTCTCAAAAAGACTTTCGGGGCGCTATTATATCTCACCCCTTCTGATATAATCTCACATTATTATCTACATATGTATAAATGGATGTTTGTACATATGACCTCACTTCACTCCTACACTGTGCAACCGATCAATATGGAAATTGGCATGTATTTGTATTTTTTTTGTGAAGAAGGTTTTGGACGTTTCAGATCCCCACCAGGTGGCGCTACAGCATATAAACTCTTGCACCGTTCAATCAATCGCCAAGTTGCCAACATGTTTGCCAAAAATCATGCTTACTTGGTTCTATAGCTAACATTTCGCTATGTTTTCATTGAATTGCCATCATAATGTAAGGAACGGCGTTACTTATGAATATTTCAATTTTAACATAAATGTAAAACATAGTAATATGAATGCATTACACATCCAGATATAAACTATTTACTCTGTTTTAAGCGTTTATTATCCAAAATTTGTAGAATGTGTTACTTTTGCTGAGCAGAGATCAGCTTAGGAAGGCGTTTTCAAAAATCGACCCACAAGAGTTACGGGGCGTTATAAGTAAAAAAAAACAAACTTTTTATCAGCTATTAGATCTACAGACTTAAAATTTAACAAATATGGGGGGTTGTTGTTCAGCTGATATATGTAAAAAAGCTTTTTTTGTTTTGTTTTTGTTTAATATTGGCACACACACACACACACACAATTCACGTAAAATTAACTCATTTTAAACTTTATATTTCAATCTGTATTGTTTAATTTTTAAATTCATCCGTGCGAAGAACGGGTATACCAGCTAGTTCAATATATAGAAATAGAACTACAATGTTATGCCGTATTCATAAGATAAAAATAAAAAAAAATGTATAGACTCAATGAATTTAATTAACGACACAAGAATATGATTTCGCAAAATAACGAAGGAAAATAGGACAATATATTTCATTCCATTTTATTTGATTTTGCCTTTTAATTTACATCTCGCACTTTGAAGCAACACTAAGACTTTTAGCGACGGACCTCGTAATTTCGAATCATGGTCGAATCACAATGAATGTGTCCATGAGTCTTTATATGCATTCAGATAATCTATTATTCTTTATTTTTCATTACCGTAAAAAAAAAATCTTTATTACTTATTGTCTATATATGTTTTTAAATATTTACAAGCAACTTTCCATCGTAAAATTTCACAACCATGATTTCGCATGAAAGAAAAGAAACAGAAGCTTTTACATAGAACAGTCTCAGAACCGCGGAATCGTAACAAAAGTTCTAAAAATACCCACGAACGCATCGCTGCCACCCTCCCCAAATCCATCAACTTTTTCTGGACTTGTGGAGGGCCAACAGGTTTAGGAAAACGTATCTGCAGTTGGCATTTACTCATTTCCGAGCTCAACGTTATTATGATTGTTTGTTTGTCAAAAGGCTGACAATGCACCGCGTGTGTTTTCACAGCTTTGCTTCTGTAAGTTGCGTGTCCCTAAAGATTTCACCGTAATAATGTGACCTGTCATCCAAACAAATCGTCTGCCAAACAGAAGAGTTACGTCATCTCGCAGTTCAAGGCGTAGGCTTGTGAGAAAGATAATAAGATTTATTATTTTCGCTATATAACAGAAAACTGAATGAGATTAAAATGTTTGATGCTTATTCATTTAAGCTGTTTTTATTCGATGAAATTTAAATGTAGAATATATTTGATAAAGTTTAAAATGCATAATTTATATAATGTCACTTGTAAAAATAGAATAAAATTTCTTTTAAAGTTTCTTATGAATTTTAATCAAATTCAGATTAATAACACACACACACACAAGTAATATAAAAAAAAATTTAAGTCAATTCCTACTTAGATCAACAAAGAAAAATTTTATTTTAGTTACTTTTTATTAAATAATTACAATTAATATAAATATGAATATACATATGACAGAATCACAATATTAAGTGGCAAAATAGAAAGCGGCTTTCCTTGCAATTTTCCATTTTCCTTTCTATATAGTGTGTTGGACTATTTCTTGTTTGCTTGTTACTATTTGTTCATTAATAAAATTTAATTATTCTAATAAAATAGTATAGTATAAAGAAATCAAATTCTCAGAAACTAGACTGTCCCAGGTGGGACTCGAACCCACGACCTTGGGATTTGAAGTCCAACGCATTATCCATTGCACTACAGAGACACAACGTGCGATTTTCCTTTCTATATATGGTCTTGAACTATTATTTTGTTTGTTACTATTTATTCATTAATTAAATTTAATTTATAAACTAATATTTGAAAAAAACTGTATTCACATCAAATGTCATCCACTACAAGTTTAAAATATTGTACTTGAACTTGAGTGGATGAATAAAAAATATTTATTAACGATTGAAAATTTGAACAAGATATATATATATATATATATATATATATATATATGCATATAGGGTGAGTGTGAACTAATAGTAGGAATTGAATAATTTAACACACACATTTTGATTTCTATATGGCTTAAAAGATTATGCATAAACAAGAATTCAAAATAAGTCTGATGATAAGTCAAAAAGATATAAAATTTAGAAAATTGTGGAAGGTTATTTTATACATTACTTTCTCCTCAAAACATTTAGAAGATTTTTTTTCTCAGCCTTCCCTCTTATTTATGCACATACCTAATTAGAAGAACACGCCCAAAATAGTCTTTATATTTCTCTAAACAAGATTTTATCATATGTGTTCTAAAATATAAAATTTTACAAGTAAAGTATTATAATATTCTTCTATTTGCTCTAGCATTTACTAGTTTTCGTTGAGGTAGTGTGTATGGAGAAAATTATTTCCAAAGAACTTATGTCAAAGATACCAGCATGGGTTCTTTTTGGTTGGTGCGTGTGAAATGTTGAATTTTAAAAGGAATTATTAAAACTGCAGATCAGTTTTCAAAAGCTGTTTATTTAATCAAACTATGCTTTATTTGCTTCTGTAAACTTTTTCCAACAAGATTGGACTGCATAAATGCCTGTTCTTAAAAAAATTCTAGTCTTTACAATCAATAAACTCTAATATGGAATTTTTCATATTGATTAGCAGATAAAAACGGTTCTAAATGTTGAAAAATGAAAGCCAATTGCCGAAAATTCCCGTAAATCAGCTGACTGCAGCAAAATTTCATATTTTAATTCATTTCATTTCGCAATAGTTTTGTACGACGTATGCAGCCGAGCGTTGTCTTGGTGGTCATACCGTTGAACAAGCGCTGGACGTAAACTTTTCTATTTCTCATACATGTACTGGTCAGTATAAAAAATATAGTTGGATTCGTTTCCACGAATGCTTTCAAAGCATCTTTTTTTCACAGTTGTCTTGAGTCTTCCAAGCGGTTGATTTTGTAGGGGAAAATAAAGCCCGAAATGATTTAAACCAACACTGTATTTTTCGATCGTTAACAGTATTTTTCCCAAATGACTGGTTGGTATTGCTTGCAGCTTTTGCATCATTATTACCAAATTTATATTCATATAAAATATTTACACGAATATTCTTAAGAAATTCATATTCTTAAGAAATTCAAAACAATTAATAAAAAGGAACACTGTTTAGAAAATCTTAGTTCAAATGTGATTCTAGCAATGGACAATACGACTATAAACGAGGTTATGCCAAACCAAAAGCATAACAAAAACACGAAGACCGAAGTTCACATATAAAGAAAATCCGACACTTCATATGTACTGTGACGTTTGAGAAAAATAATGGTGGAATGATATTTCTTAATTTAAATATTTAGTTTATTTACGTTATAGCTATTAATTACAGTATATACATTGAAGTTATTAAAAATATTGTTTAGATCATTAGAGTCCCGCATTGATGTCTGTGAGGGAGGAGGGTCACATCCATCCTGTTCGAAGGTTTCCAACAGACTTCCTCTCTCCGGATGGTAGCGGTCAGCCTCTTTATTCTCGAGTTACATCCATCTCGTGGCCGGAGTGGGAGATTCCTCACGGTGTCAAAGGTTTCCGGGGCCATGACCAAAGATAGGACCTCGCAATATTTTAAATGTGCACGTGTACACAGAAACTCGGTTATCCTGTCCACAAAAAGAAGCCGACTTTCAGCTGTGCGACGGGAAATCGTTTCAGCACTTAATCCAATGGTAGACCACAGAAACAAATTCGGTGCGACCTGTTAAAGGTGATGTTCAATCTTTTAAAGCAAGGCAAAGAGAGCATTTTTGGTCACCTGGAAAATATGAATCAATCTTGGATGTATCAATATGATCCAAGGACCAAAGAGCTGATCAAGGGCAGAAATGATATTGGAATTAATTTCCCACCCAAGAAGAGTGTATAGAAAGGTGTAAGGGAAGTAATGTTGTTTGTTTTGTAGAACTGTCATCATGAAGTCATCTTAACAGACTGCTGAAAGCTTTGAATATTGCATCCACATTGCTGAAAACATAAAAAAAACTGCGTGGTAAGATCACCAAACTTTTCGACTTGCTAAAAATGCATCGGTTCAGTCATTTCAAGATGCAATTTAGAAATCAGTGATGTGGCTTTAAAATTTGGCCAAATCCATCCTATTCTCTCGGTCTCACACCAAACGACTGCTTACTCCAGATCTTCAAAACCCATTGCTGTTCAGAGATTTGACAACACAAATGCCTTCATTTACGAAGTGGGACAACGGTTTTGACGCTATCTACTGAGTTGTACAATGATGACCCTTGTATAATGATGGCCCTCTAAAGTTCAAGAAACACCGGTCGCTTAGCTACCGACTTAACAGCCGTATCAATGATACGGGGCCCCCAAGCTACAGGGGGCCCAACATTTGTAACTACAGTCCCACTAACAGGGTTCTCATATCTAAAAAAGGGCCCCGAAGAAATTTTGATACAGAGCCTACTCAGAACTATCTACGGCAGTGAGAAACACTCTAGGAGAAATGTATAAGTCTGGATGGTGATTATGTCGAGAAGTCTTAAAAAACAAATGGAAATTAATTTTATACCGTGATTACTTTTAATAGTAATGAAAACTTTATGATACGCTTCTCGTATAGAAATACTTTTATTTTATCTGATATAAAATTTATTCATTAATGAAGAAAATTTTCCAGAATTTGACAAAAAGATTCAGCATAGATCAAGAACTACAGATTTAATGCGTTACACAGTTTTTGAACTTAACGGAAAGAATAATTAAGGCACAATGAAAAAAGTTGCTCTATCAAAATTATTTGGTGTGAAAACCTTTCACCACCTTGAAACCTTATCCTTCAAACTGGGTTTTGCCTGATAGACTTTTGGGATTGAATAAGACTTACTCTCTCATTGATGAGTAATAAAGAGTGTTTTTTTTCCAGGTATAGAAGTTTAAGTTGGCATTACTTTCCAAGATGGCGACCGATTTAACAGCTGTCAAGGGATTTATTCTCAGTTTGGTTTGGCAATTCATCAAAACGATCATCAAGCAAGGCGTAGATTCGTCGAATGGGCCCAAAACGAGATTGCCGTTGTTCCCGATTTTCATAAGCGAATTTTGTTTAGCGATGAAGCGCACTTCTGGTTGAATGGCTACGTCAACAAACAAAACTGCCGCATTTGGAGTGAAGCTAATCCACAAGTGTATGTCGAAACACCGTTACATCCAGAAAAACTGACTGTTTGGTGCGCTTTATGGGCTGGTGGAATCATTGGTCCGTACTTCTTCAAAAACGATGAAGGCCACAACATTACAGTCAATGGTGATCGGTATAGAGCCATGATTACTAACTTTTTCATTCCTGAATTGAACAATCATGATGTCCAGGAGCTGTGGTTCCAACAAGACGGCGCAACATGTCACACAGCTCATGCCACAATCGATTTATTGAAAGACACGTTTGGTGACCGCCTAATTTCACGTTTTGGACCTGTGAATTGGCCTCCAAGATCTTGTGATTTAACACCGCTAGACTATTTTCTGTGGGGGGCTATGTAAAGTCATTGGTCTATGCGGATAAGCCACAAACGCTTGACCATTTGGAAGACATTCGCCGTGTTATTGCCGATATACGGCCACAAATGTTGGAAAAAGTCATCGAAAATTGGACGTCCAGGTTGGACTACATCCGAGCCAGCCGTGACAGTCCTATGCCAGAAATCATATTTAAAATGTAATGCCACAAGATTATCTTTCGAATAAAAAAAATTCATGTCAATCGAATAATACATCGTTGTTTTATTGCAATTTAAAGTTCTATACCTCTAAAAAAACACCCTTTATTTCCTTCCAAAACTCTAAAATTTCATCAATAAACTCTTTCAAAAAAGGAATTTCTTACAATTTTTTTGCGTGTTTTTCCCTGAAACTTTTACTCTGGCTGGCTAATTTATGAAAATTTTTTTCAGCACTTTGCATCTTTAATTGATTACCAGAACATGCAGCGATAGCTTCAACTAACTGTGCGTTATTGATGAAAGGATTCTTTTGAGAACATTTTTCTGTATTTTCCCGTGTTAATTATTTATTATTATTTTACCTTTCTAACAGAGATTTAGGTTACCCCCCACTTTCAATTCCTACTATTTGTTCACTCTCTCCCTATATATATATATATATATATATATATATATATATATATATATATATATATATATATATATATATATATATATATATCTTCAAATTTTTAATCGTTAATAAAATATTTTTTATATTCATCCACTCAAGTTCAAGTAAAGTTTTTTAAACTTATAGTGAATACAGTTTTTTTCAAATATTAAATCAGTAATAAATTTAAAAATGAATAAATAGTAACAAACAAAAATAAAAGACAAACACCGTATACAAAAAGGAAAATCGTTCGTTGTGTCCTTGTAGCGCGCTGGACTTCTAATCCAAAGGTCGTGGGTTCGAATTCCACCCGGGATGGCCTAATTTTAGAGAATGTGATTTCTTTTTTACTGTACCATTGTATAAAAATAATATAATTTGATTAATGAATAAACAGTAGCAAACACACAAAAAAAAATAGTCCAACACCCTGTATAGATAAAAAAATGAAAAAATTGCAAGGAAAATCGCTTTCTATTTTGTCACTTAATATTACGATTCTGTCATATGTATATACATATTAATATTAGTTGTAACTATTTATTAAAAAGTAACTAAAATAAAATGTTTCTTTGTTGATCTAAGTAGGAATTGA